CAAGGAGTTTAAAGGGATCGATCAAGTAGCATTTCCCAGATGTCTTACTCCATCTAAGGCATCCACTGAAGTTGTATTAGTAATATTTAGTGATGCAAGTGAGAAAGCGTTTGGAGCCTGTGCATATGCAAGGTGGAGATTAGAAAGCGGATCATTTGAATCAAGACTGATAACAGCCAAATCACGTGTAGCCCCATTAAAGAAATTAACGGTCCCGCGATTAGAGCTACAGGCGGCAGTTATGGGAGCGAGACTAGCATATGCAGTAGTTAAAGAGTCTACTTTCAAATTCAGTAAGCAGATTTTAATGACAGACAGCATGATCGTGCTGGGGTGGATAAGACGACCAGCTCAATGCTTTAAACAATTTGTTGCAGCTCGAGTTTCTGAGATTCAGCGCAAGACGAAGATAGCAAATTGGAGACATGTTCCAGGAATATTAAATCCTGCCGACGACTTGTCCAGAGGAGTGAGAGCGGACAAATTAACTGATAGGTGGATAAATGGACCTGAATTTATAAGTAAGCCGATAAGTGAGTGGCCTCAAGAGAGGTCAGATAATGACACCGAGGATACAGAAGAAAGAAGGATGGCATTTAACGGGAATGTTGTTGTGAACCGGGGAGAAGTTGATATTGTGGAATGCAAGACTTGGGAAGAAATGTTAGAACTCTATCGACAAAGAATGTACGGCAAACAGTCAGAAGCTTTGAATGCCGAGAAGGTAAGAGAAATTGAACTCTTACTGTTGAGGAGAGTGCAGAAAGACTGTTTTGCAGAAGAGTATGAGGTACTAAAGAATGGGGGTAAAAGTGTAGCAAAGAGCAGCAAACTGGTAAATCTCGACCCACAATTCGATATGGAATCAGAGCTCATCCAAGTAGGAGGTCGATTAAAGAGAAATGATCAACTGGAGATGGAGGTGCACCCAGTTGTACTGGACCCGAGTCATCAGATTACACAGTTGCTCATAAAGAGAATAGACAGTAATGTTTTTAACCATGGTGCAGGAGTGGAGCAAGTATTCAGTTATATAAGACGATGTTACTGGATATTGAAAGGGCGTAGTAAAATCAAGTCGATACTCAGGACATGTGTTAGTTGTCAG